ATATAAACATATGTATAGTATATTATCCCATAAATTGTGCCTATGCATATGTCTCTATATAATATAATATGACATTCTGGGAGTACACCATTTAAAACTCCAAATGATTTTTATAATTAATATACACTAGTGAACATGACTAATCTTTTTAACCTTTAATCTGTGATTCAAAGAAGAAGCATCACATTTGATGCAGGAGATGGAAGTATACTTTGTTGTACGTTTCTGTACATATATAATGGGTGAGGACCTATTGGTGTTTATTTCCACCTGTTTCGTAGATGGAAATCCATGCTTAAGTCGGATTCCATTGCACCTTCTCTGCTATTTGCTACTTGTGAATTTGGTCTTCTGTGTTATAATGTTTTAATTCAAATACTTCCCTTTTCTCATGTCTTACATCCAGAAGAGGTCGGCTGTGTTTTCCCCTGATAGCATGTGTTTTGGTCATGGCTGAATTTAGGCTGCTTGGCATCCATCCTCAATGTTCAGCTGTCAGTGGGTGGCCTCTGGACTTTCTTTTTATTCGTAAGGAAGGTTAGAAATCAGGAGCCTTCCATATGACTAATTGGTAGCCAACTGCTATTCTCAAGAATTCTGATAATCTAACACTCAGAGATTAGACCTTTCTTTGGATAGTACTGAGATACTCGGAAGTCATCCAGCTTGCAGCATTTTTTCAGCAGCAGTGGGAGCCCTTGTAGTTAGCAAGCCAGAATGAGCTATAAATACATGAAATCTTACAATGCTTGCTTCCTTCATTCAGGGTAGTCTGCTGATAAGATGCAAGTATCTGGCAGAAGAGAAGATTCTCAGCAGGTTTAAGTGCTTACCAAAGTGCTTTCCTGTATCCATGGCTCAGCTTCTAGTCTCTGCTGTGTTATTTTGGCACTTCTAGACTTGTAATATTGGAGAGTCGAGTTTAAAACTCTCAATATATCATTAGGGTAGCCCAAGGTCCCTTCTTGTCAAGGAAGACTAGCTGAGTCCAGGGAGAAGGAAAATCAGAATCCAGGACACCTGTAAATCCCTGTAGTTTTGTGCTGTGGGTTCGTAGCTAATTATACGGCAGGCAACAGTAATATGCTGTAGCTCTGTTGGTGTACTTGTTTCAGAAAGAGCAAAATCTTCCAGCAGAGCAAAGAAGGGGCTTTGGAGGGGCTGCAAATAAATGAAGCAACGATCATTTTATTGTAAACTAAAGCTCTGCAACAGAATCAGGGCATCTGAACTGCAAGGAGGTGGTGGGGGAGATGCCAGTAGAAATACATGGTTCAGATGTGTTTTACAGCTCTTGATTTGGATTTTCCTACAGAAATATAGTCACGCAAAGAGACCACCACTGGTCACAGCCAGTCAAATTGCTCTTTCTCCTATGGTACTGCTGTTAGTGGCTGCTAGTAGGTTATTCAGCCGACCTCTTCTGATTCTGCTTTGCTGCCTGATTTCAAAAGAGTTGCCCTATACTGTCTTTCAGTCACAGCTTGATGTAACTACTGCTTGTTTGCATGCATCCCCATCATTTTCATATAGGCTCTTTTTTCTTCTTCTTCAAGTTTGGAAGCAAAAGAATCAGGAGCATTTTTATATGATAAAAGATTTATGTAGGGCCAGCTAGAATCAAGCCAAATGAAATTCAGCTGGAAGGGGTGGTAAAAAGGCTCACAGAACTTGTGGCTGCCAGAGAAGTCAGTGTTCCTTAAATTAAAGAGGGTTCAGCTAGCAGGCGGCGACTCAACTTTGCATTCATATTGAATCAGGCTCTCCAGCCATTCTGGGCAGGCAGAGCAATAAAATCAGAGGTGACTTAGTGCCAGGAACCTCAGAATTCACAGGATTTCTCTGGTCTTTCTCTAAAATCTATATTGATGTGGAATGCTAACTTGGAGGGCGGAGATGAGAAAGTGCCAGGTCTAGATTGTGGTTTATGACACCATATTGAACAATGTCATTGGAAAGCATCCTCTTTGGTTTTTTGGTTATCATATCTGTAAAATGGAGCTAACCTACTAGAAAGAAAGTAGTTCTAATATTTATCAAATGTTGTAAATGAAGATTCACTATAATAAGTGTTTTGAATAGCCCAAACAGCAGATGATAAGAAGTGAATTTATATCCCATTTATGTATTTGAAAATACACTTGATTGCCTTTGAGCAATTTTACTTTTTTTTTTTTTGAGACAGTATCTTACTTTGTCACCCAGGCTGGAGTGCAATGGCATGATCTTGGCTAACTGCAACCTCTGCCTCCTGGCTCAAGCAATCCTCCCACCTCAGCCTTCTGAGTAGCTGGGATTACAGGCATGCTGTGTGCCACCACACCTGGCTAACTTTTGTATTTGTGTGTGTGTGTGTGTAGAGATGGATTTTGGAGATGTTGCCCAGGCTGGTCTTAAACTCCTGGGCTCAAGTGATCCACCCACCTCAGTCTCCCAAAGTGCTGGGATTACAGGAATGAGCCGCTGCGCCCAGCCTAATTTAACTATTTTTGCATGATGAGTATGCAGTGGAATGTGACAAATTTTATTTTCAGCTACATAAATGGAATATTTGACTCCTATACAATCTCCTCCCTTAGTTGTGTGTGTGGTTTTTTCTGTTGTTGTTGTTGTTGTTGTTGTTTTTGGTACAGAGTGTGGTGTATCACAGTGGTGTGTGATACACCACATTTGTCATATTCTTAAATTGACCATATAGCCCTTGTATAGGATGAAAAATATGTAGTGGCCAGATTTGGTGGCTCACACCTATAATCCTAGCACTTCGGGAGGCTGAGGTAGGAGGATCACTTGAGCTCAGGAGTTCAAGACTAGCCTGGGTAACATGGTGGGACCTTATCTCTATTTCTTAAAAAAAGAAAACATGTAAATGATCATTATGGACATGACTAAGTATTTACCTGTTAATAGACAGTTTATCTTTCCTTCCTTCCTTGCTTATCTCCCTTACATCCCCACAGATTCTTCTTCTACCAAAGTGGAGAAGCTGGCTCTAAACCTACTTACATGATTGATTTGGGACCATTCCTTTAAAAATTAGAGATGTTGGGAGTTTTTGCTTTTTACCCCATACTGTGTAGATGGTGCATAATTCTTATAACAAAGCAGCAGGGGGCTCTCTGTAGGAGCTTGAGAGTTGCTGATGGAGACAGCCTGGCTTTTTGTTGTTCTTTTCAATTCAGGCCTTTTTCTACTGAAAACGTGGCCCTCATCCTGTGAAGACTCCCAAAGGGATTAGAATGTAGCTACAGGAGCAGTTAGATTATTTTATTAGATTAGGAAATTTGTTAACAGTTGAGAGAGATTATACTGGTTTCTAAACTCTAGAAACCTGGATGAATGGAACCTGAGGTTTCTTTGGTTGTAGAATTCTCTCTGAACTGAGGTTCATGGTAAGAAACTGTGCAGGTGGCCCCTTTCCTTAGCATCCTTTATATCTTAAAAGGAAGACTATTCTCATTAGCATCTGCAGTTAGTTTTCTGTTCAGCTGTACCTCCCTCTGTTCTAGAACCTGTGCATATTTTTTCTGTATTGATGAGGCCCAAGTGCATTATAACTAAGGATCTCTTGTAAAAATAAAACCCATTCTCCTGAGTGAGAGGCTCAAGGAATCCAAACAGCAAAGGTTCAGGTTTCTGCACTCGGAGGTTGCTCTTGCTGCCTTATGAATTCACTCTGTGATACAAGTTTGATGTAAAGAGCATTTCTACTCACAAATCACATGAGGTATACAGTTTGTGTGCAGTGATATGTCACAGCTTTTTATTTATATAGCCTGCTCAGTCTATTCTGCTCCTTCCACTGCCATGGAAAGTGCATCATTTTCCTCCCTCTATCTTCTTTCCCACATATCATCAGCACCACCCACCATGTTCTGCCCATTAAGTCCTCTGTGTGCTAGAAAACCCCAACAGTGATTAAATGCTGATAAAAGAATGTTAGAAGGTTAAGATATCAACCGATCAGCCCCCTTACAATGCCCCTAAATTGTAGGTGGTAAGTATAACTTTGCCCATTTAACATTGAAAATAAAGGTTTTTATTTGTTTGATTATTTTTCAGTTGGAGAAATCTTTTAAAAAGAGTTAGTGGCAAAGGCCAAAGAGAATGTGGGAGATGTGCCTTGTAGTTTCCTATTCTTATCGTGGTCTTTCTTTCGTTATTTTGGCACATTCTCTAGAAGGAAGTTCTAGGGTAGTCAAATTTAGGTAAGGTTTTATTTATGAAAGGCCTAGAGTTTTTAAGCTAACAGCAGTTTTAAAAATCATTATGACCCTAAACTCATTTAATTACAAAATATTAATTTTAACAACTTATACTGCTCTGATCATAGAATCATTTATCATTACTTTTCTGCATGATTTTCAGTTCTTTTAAGCTCCTAGAATACAATACCCTCCCCCCTGCTCTCCTTCATGGGAGGAAGAGTATGGATAAAAAGACTTAGAACAGGTAGCTGGGAACCCAGATTCCTGGGTACTTTTCTTTGGTGGAGAATTTGTAGGTCTGTCACATATCCTGGAAAAGCAATTAAGGTAGGAGGAGCTATGGAATCAACTTCTCTGGACCTCCTTATTACACCTTCAGTAATAGGAACAAGAAAGAAGAGTCTCTAAGAATCCCATGAAGAATTATATTTCTTGTTGGAACTTAAGTTAATATACCATATCATATAGCTTAAATTAATTTTCATTAGCCTGTGTTTTACCACTACTCTGCATTTTTTTTTTTTTTTTTTTGGTAATAGAGCTATTTTTAAAATCCATGGTAAATACATTTTGACCCTTTCCATCAACAGCTGCTGTAGTGGGGTAGGTTAGGAGCATGCCTTTTTGGAGGCATCCTGGGGGTTGAAGGGTAATGAGCACTTAATTATGTCTGCTGAATGCCAGAGCTGCCAAACTGGAGCTCCTCGCGACTGGTCTGTATCTGCTCTGACAATTCTTTTATTATGGCTTTCACTAACCTATCAGTAACTAACTGTGGTTGTTTAATTACAGAGGGAACATCCCTACGCTAAACAGGTACCGTATGTTTAGTTTCTTTTCCAATTAAAAGCACCTTTATGTAACTTATAATAGTGAAACCAGGAAGAAAATAACACTTGACATGATAATGTGTTGTCTGCTAGGGAGTCCTGAACTCCCCTTTGGACATACTAAATTATTCTTTCTGTTTGGAAAACATGTCTTCAGCTTTTCTTCAGCTGTTCAAAAAGCACTACTTGAAAAGCCTCGGTATGGAGAAACTCCTATCTAGCTGTATATGGTAGGGGGTCTGTCTGCCTTATGTTCAGCCTTGCTAGCAGCATCTTCTTTTGCTAAGTTCTCTGTGTACTTTGGGGCTTTCAGAGGAGAAACCCTTAAGGTTACTCCTATCCTGGCAAATTATTCACAATTTTTACAATTTTTAGTTTCTCTAATTTGCTTCTCCTTTTAGAGGAGTGCAGATCCAGAAATAGCTGATCTCATGTTTTATCAGTTTGTTAGTTAATTTTCTAAAGTGTTAAAGTGTTAGAATGATAGTCAGTTTTTATTTCAGACCTGTAATAAGATTAACATTGGAAAAGTATATTTAAATTTTGATGTGTTTAGCCCTGTGTAGAGGTTTCTAGGCTAACATAACATAAGTGATATTTTAGTATTTTGGGTTTCTCCTGTCTCTTGAACCAAGCAAGGCAACACAATGCAAGTTTGAGAGGATAGCAATTCTGATTGGAATTGAATCCACAAAATGCAAAAGCAATAGTAAGTTGATGGCACGGTCTTTGCAGATAATCAGCTACATGTGGAAATATAGATTTGCATTTATTTTGTCCCTCTCCCTTTAAAATATTAAGTAATCAAAACTAATCATAGCTTTTAGATCCCAATTTGGATGTGGAGAGGAAAGGGAATGCTTTTAATTGGTCTTGTAATCTTCCCTTGGTGAGTGGGCTTGGCTCATTCCTGCCTGCCCTTAGCTGCTCTGGTTCACAAGCATAGCAGTGAGGGGAAACTGAATAGTCGATATTTCCCATGGGGTTCAGTTGAGTGAAAAAAGTACTTAACCCCATGGTTGCCACAAACATAGCTTCTTCAGAGGGAGTTCCCTTTAAATGTGGTCTGGAACCCTTTTATCTTTCCTGTCTAATGCCAAGCAGGTAGAAAAGATACAATGCCTCACAAACTTGCTCTTTTAGTAAATATATCTGGTGATCCTAGAAAAGAGGAGGATGATAGCACCTCTGTGGTAATACAACTCTGAATCCCAGTTTCTAGTGAGCACCATGTTTAAGACTTGCTTGATGTGTGTTTCATTTGTTTGTTTCATTCATGGTATCAATGGTTTCCTCTCCCACTTTGCCTTCTACTCCTGAGTACTGTCAAAAATGATGTACCTTTTCCATAGTCATCACTCACCAAAGGAATAAAAACCTGGAGTGTCAGTCTCTATAGTCTGTGTGAGCAGCACTCCCATCCTATAAAGAATTCCATTGCCTTATAATTATGATTTGCGATAGGGTACAGTATGTACCCAGATATCAAGTCCACGTTGTCGTCTCTCTTTCCCCTGCGACACTGCAGGTGGTGTACTTCAAGGAGATATTTGGGGCAGTTCTCCAAATTCAAGTGCCATTGCCTTGCCCTGAACTTGCTTCAGATCAGTATGCTGGTAACATGTCAGGCAAGTCTTGGAGGCATCCTTTAGCTTGGTCCTTCCTAACAGGCTGTCCTGATTGAGCATTCAGAAACACTTTACAGTATTATTTATCAGTACGTACTGTTAAGGTGCACAAGAAATATAGAGATTCATTGTTTTTAGATTGAACAAATCAGTTCAGTTCTCTTCAAGCATCTCTGTTTAGCAGCTGTTTGTCATGCTTACACATACTTTGAGACCCATACTCTGCCCTTTTGTATGTTGCTGGAAATTATTAAGGGCTTTCAAAGGAGATTTTTTTTGTTTTGATACAGAAGTGCTTAACTATGAAAAGAAAAACGTGCAATTTGGGGTTGAAAAATGTCTCTCTTTTCAAAAAGGGAGAACTGTAACCCCAGTAACTATCCCTACCAACCCATTAAAGGAAAAAGTAAATTCCTCAGTAAATTTCCTTTTATAGACTGTGACCTGTTTCTGTACCCTAATGTTTTATATAATTATTTACTAAACCATTCCAGATGACTTAATTATAATTGTTGTTTTACATACATATATCTACCTATCTCTTTATTTATCTGTGAACACTTACTCTATTACAGTTCCTAGAAAACAAAATGCCTTAAGCATTGCATAGTTACAACACACTTGGCTTGCTTACTTCCTTTTAAAGGAGGGAATGCTTTAGGGAGGGGGAAGATGCAGGATGGTTTTTAACCCCTATGTGCTATTCATTCATTGGACATCTTACAATGTAATTGTATTAAAACTGCCTGGAAATTCCTAACAGTCCTTAGCTTTTTATTTGAAGAAATTTTGGAGTGATGAAAATATAGTTTATATGGGGAAATTCAAAAGAAAGGGTTAACATGAATCCAGCAAAACAACCTTATCCGTAGTGGGTAAAAAAACCAAATCTGCTCTGCAACCTGACCCTACTTCAGTGTTTTGTCCTAGTTCCTTTTCCCTACTGTTACTTTCCCAGTCCTTGCTCCTACCCTCCTTGTCTAATGAACGTGATTGAATTACCATTTAGAATGTCCTTCTCCTCCAACCTCAACCACTATGGCATGACCCATGTAGCTAGTGTCAGCGATGTGCTGTTGGACAACTCATTCACTCCACCTTGTCAGCGGATGGGCGGAATGGTCTCTTTTCGGACTTTCGAAGATTTTGTCAGGTAAGACGTTGTGGAACTATGTCTATACAAGGGGAGCTATGGACATCTGTGTTTTGGGGTCTCAGCTTTCTGCAAAATGAATAAAGGTCTCCCGAATAGCCATGAGCCAGCTAAAAAGATGTAACCCTTGCTGTATATGCTCTCAGAGAGGTATATATCCTTGCATTTCTACCTCTCGTTCAGTTTCTACAAGCCTCTACTTGTAGTATGAGCCTGGTCAGAAAAAAAGAAACAAACGAAAACCATCTTTTCCTGAGGAGCTAACAGAAGAAGCTGTCTGCTCTGTGATGAGTGAAATGTCAGGAGAAATTAAACATAACACTAGAGTGAGCCCCACAAGAGACGATACATCTTTTGATTAAATGCATTCAGCATCTATCTCTTGATGTATACTGATGCATTACCCTAGGGGGAGGGGTAATTACATTGGACTGTCACTACTCCAGTTCCAGGCACTTTCTGTTACTTTAAGACTGATGATGACAGCAGTGCTCATATCTTACATATGAGGAAAACAAAACAAAACAAAAAAGCTTTAGATCATTCTTTCTAAAAAAGAAAAAATATATATGGTTTGTTAAAGTTTAAACAATCCATCCTCCTAATTTCTGCCACTTGGTGAAATTTTGCATGTCACCTCTAGCCACTGGTGATTCTATTCAGTTAACTATTGAGCCCAGGCTAAGATAGATTATTCTTTTAGACTCAGCTGGCAATGGTAGTGTTAGTTTCCTGCCACTTGGGTTTCATGGTGGGTGTTTCTCTTGTATTTTTTAGGATCTTTGATGAAGTGATGAGCTGCTTCTCTGACTCCCCACCCCAGAGTCCCACATTCCCTGAGGCAGGTCACACGTCTCTTTATGATGAAGATAAGGTATAATGTCCCTTTTGGGAGACTGCTTTGTTCCCTCAGACATGGGACTTGTACTGTATACTATCTTTCTGACTTTGAACTATTATTGGAAAGAATTCATCATTTTACCCCACTTTATAGTATTTAATTTTGTATGCCTCACCAAAGTATTTTCTGGAAATAGGTGGAATATAAATCCTAACTTAAAAAAAAACTATATTAATTTTGGAGTCCATAGTATAGAATGGGCTCAGCTATGTCCATTGCAACTGCCTCTGAATCTCTGAATGTTGTTTTAAGGATTTGGGCTTTGGTTGCTGGAATTCTTATTCAGCCATGGCTTATATTTTTGCTTAATGGTGCAATCATAGTCCTCAGAGAATGGAGGACTTTAGATTACAGGAAAAAAAATAGGCATTTTGTTTAAAACTTTGTCTTTTTATTAAATCATTTCTTTTTACTTAATCAGTAGATAAATTATTCTTCCTCTATGATGTTATTTTTTCGTGATTTGATACTTCCATTGTTTGATAAATTATAAGGAAATATATTATGTGGGAATATGTCCAGATGGCTTATTTCACTCATTTTCCTTCACATTCTGTGAAGAGATATGGCAAATAGTTTCACCCCCATTTTACTAGTAAAAAAGGTGAGACATAGTGATCTTCAACTTCATACCAAGTAAAGTTTGGGCCACCTGTTGCTAATGCCTCTGCTGCCTTATCTTTGAAAAGTTACATGCTTTACTTTATTTAATCTCTCTGTGGCTGTTGGACAGTGGTTTCAATTTGCTGATTCCTACTGCTGGGCAAACCAAAATATTCTGTGGGGTGTATCTGTTTTTCAGGTATTCTACCAAATATTATAACTTCTACCTGCATCTGTATTGGCCAGCCTCATAATTTCTTTGGCTTGTGTTCTTGAGTTACAGGTTCCCAGGGATGAACCAATTCACATTCTCAATGTGGCTATCAAGACTGACTGTGATATTGAGGATGACAGGCTGGCAGCTATGTTCAGAGAATTTACCCAGCAAAATGTAAGTTTTCAATTGGGTGGAAGCTCGTGATGGCCCCTTTCCTACTGACTGTGTATCATTAGCTATCCTTTTATCACTTGCTAGTTTATGGCTATGTCTTTTATCATAACTCTCAGAACTATGGCTAGTTCTGCCTTTAGGGATAAAATCCCAAAGTAACTTAATAATATATAATGAATATCTTTGTGTGTCAACAGATATAGACCTCAAATATTTAAAATGTTTTTAAGGGAAGTTATGTTGCTAAATCTCTCCCAGAGCTCCAGTCTTGAACTTCGAATCACTTACTAAGTATTTTCCTTTGGTAACTTTCCACATGTCTAAGCCCAAACTCCCCTCAGGTCCCTTCTGTGTCTTCCCCTCCCCTCCTTTGAAAATATCAGTTATACACCTACCCTCCTTTCAATTTTATGTCACTTGGATATCTCCTGTTGACATCAAACTCCATAGTCTAAATGTCATTTTCCATCATTGTCCTTCTCCTCTTCTCATCCCTTTCCAGTCCCCTCATAAAACAAAACAAAAAACCTCACAACTCACCATACCTTTCACTCCCAATCATTCAGAAGTCATTGACTTTATCCTTGACATTCCTTCATTCTACCCTTCTACCCACAATCTGTACATATTTATTTGTATCTGGTCAGTCACCAAGGTCTGCTAGTTTTTCTTTGCAGTCTTTTTTACCCTTTCTCTTTTTCTTCTTTCCAGTTTTTAAATTCCCACTGCCATCCCTAATTCAAACCCTTGCTATCTTACACCTGAGACACCGCAGCAGGGTTACTTTTGATCTACTTATCTTCCTTCACTTTCTCCCTCCAAAGAGTTTCCATTCTGCTCACCATCACAAAATTAAATGTCCCAAATGTGCTCTGACCATGTTATTTTCCCACTTAACAGTGATTCTCTTTGACCTTCCGAATACCTCCTTAACTTTAGCTTCAACATCATCAGCCTATTGAGAGACTAACATGTAGCCTTTGCTATTTTGTGAAAAGACCTTTGTTCATTGTCTAATATGCCTCATTTACTGTACTTCTTTGACTTCCTCTTACCTAGAAAGTTTTCTTTCACCTTTCTTTCTAAATCCTGCTTGTCTTAAGAACTGTCCCAAATTTCACCTCTTCAATGAGGACTTCTGAGTAGCCCTAACTAAAATGTATGTTCTTCCTTTGAATTCCTAATTGGTCAGCATACATTTATTAGCAATAATAATGCCAGCCAGGCACGGTGGCTCACACCTGTAATCCTAGCACTTTGGGAGACTGAGAGAGGAGGACCGCTTGAGTCCAGAAGTTCGAGACTAGCCTTGGCAACATAGCAATAATAATGCCTTTTATTTATAAAAAAAATTCTACCTAAATTTTTTATTTGCATCTTACCACAATTCCATGGGGTTAGATAAGTCAGGAATTATTCCAGTTGTACACATGGGCAAAAGCTGGAGCTCAAAGAAATTAAAACCCCTAGGTCACCAGCTGGAAGGTGATAGAGCAAATACTAGAACTTAAGGATTTGATGCCAGGTGTAGGGGGCACAGACCTAGGTAATAGTAAGTAATACCTTCTTCGCCCTGAAGATGCTTATAGTCTAGTTGAGGGGATAGGATAGGCATGCTTAAAACAATAATCTACAGTTATATTTCATTATGATATGTGATAGATGGCAAAGTGTCATCTTAAACTGCCCTTGATGGCAAGACCCATGTGTTCTCTTGGAGTGGACAGCACTTAACCCATGGTCTTGTTACAGAGAAAGAACTCAGTAGATGTTTTCAAAATTTAATTCAGTGGTGTAGACAATTCGTACCATTGGCATTCACATCATGTAATGCTAATGGTAGATATCTAGGGGAAAAAAATGGTAAATTTGTGATGACTATAAGTCTTAGTACTTATTCCATGATACTGTCGTGGCACTTAAACTAACTGTGGGATTGCAGTGGCCAATAGGAGGAAAAGGTGCTTCCAGAGACGTGAAAGTAGGGGACATGCCTGGGGCTTTTTCTATAGACAGAAATTTACCTTCCTTCTTGCCCTTGACCAGTGACCACATAAAATTAACCTAAAGCCAGTGATCAAGGTAATCTTTGCTGGAAGAGTTTTTTTTTAGACGGAATTTCACTCTTGTTGCCCAGGCTGGAGTGCAATGGTGTGACCTCAGCTCACAGCAACCCCCGCCTCCTGGGTTCAAGTGATTCTCCTGCCTCAGCCTCCCGAGTAACTGGGATTATAGACATGTGCCACCACACCCAGCTAATTTTTGTATTTTAGTAGAGATGGGGTTTCTGCATGTTGATCAGGCTGTTCTCGAACTCCCGACCTCAGGTGATCTGCCTGCCTCGGCCTTGCAAAGTGCTGGGATTACAGGCGTGAGCCACTGCGCCCGACCTGGAAGAGTCTTAATGTTATATGTGGCTGCTGCTGCTGCTTCATGAAATAATCTATGAAAGTATCTTTCTAGGTTTTGAGGCACTAGTTGCCCATGTTTGAGTATTTTTCCATAATTTGACTACAACTTGCCATTTGTTGTTGCCCTCAAATCTAAGTGTCATATTTATCAGCACATGTTGATCTACAAAGACATTTTCAGCCAGGCGCAGTGGCTCATGCCTGTAATCCTAGCACTTTGGGAGGCCGAGGTGGGTGGATCACAAGGTCAGGAGTTCAAGACCAGCCTGGCCAATATGGTGAAACCCCATCTCTAGTACTAAATACAAAAATTAGCCAGGCATGGTGGCGAGTGCCTGTAGTCCCAGCTACTCGGGAGGCTGAGGCAAGAGAATCGCTTGAACCTGGGGGCAGAGCTTGCTGTGAGCCAAGATTGCACCACTGCACTCCAGCCTGGCGACACAGCGAGACTCTGTCTCAATTTAAAAAAAAAAAAAAAAGTATTTTCTTCATATTCACTACATATGTTTGTAACATTAATGAGAAATAAGAAATTACCCTTTTCCTTGACTAGATGTGGAAACTAAGGCACAGAGAAATCCAATGTCTTTGCCTAACGCTATTTAGAATGGTAAGGGTAGACTGTGTTGACACTTTAAGCATAGAGAAGCTATTTACTGCATCAGGTACTGTGCTTATCCAGGGACATTTGGCATTTTCATCTCCTTGTTAAAATATATATGTGTGTATATATATATATATAAGAAAGAAAAGGAAAGAAAAGCAATTTAAGAAAAAAAAAGATGAAGTGGCAACTAGTTTTGTTTTTCACTTCATGATCATGCTTCTAGCAGTTTAAAAAAAGTTTTTTTTTTTAAAGCACACATTAAACTATCAAATAGGTTGATCCAAATTGTCCAAATAATCTTCTAGTCCCAGCATGTCTTTTTTTCTCTCATAGAAATTAGGATCATATATTTGTAAATGACTTGTGGAGGAGATTGAAGCAGTCAGTGTAAATGGAGTTTCTCCAGGTGCTGACGCCTAATCGCTGGGTAATAGCTGTGGACTTGCTGTGAGACCCGCATTATTACAATGTAATCAGAATCCTGTTGCTCTGCTGTTATTGTCAGCCACTTGTGGAATTTTAAAAGCAATAACAATTTTGATTTTAAATCATGGCATTATTAAAGTTATTTTCTTCCCTTGCCAGAACATAGCTATTGATGCTTGTCTTTGAAGGACTTGACTGTAGTGGAATCTTTGTTGATGTCAGAAGAAGTATTTCTGTTCCTGGCCACACTGAGAAACCCCCCCCTTTCTTTTGACACATTTTTGTCATATTGTAGTGTCAATACTTGGTTATTTACAGCAAGGAGTGTGATGGCAGTACAAATAATTTTTTAAAGCAGTTAAACCAAAATGTATTTATATTTGGCCTGATAATTTATTATTTTATTATTTGCTTATAGAAAATTAATTTTTCCAGTTATCTTTTGTTTATGCTGTTAATAAAATTATTTTATTACTCAGCAATGCCATGGCAGAATTGAAGAAACTGGAAGAAGTAACCCAAGAATGTGCTTCCTTATAAGGGGAAGACAATTTGGATTAAAAAATATAATATCATGAATGTTAAGAATTGGCGTATAAACATATCTCTTGGTTAGAGTTATAGCAAGAAATGTGGTCAAACTAAAGTCTGGATGTAGGCTGTGAAAGTCCACATTAGTTTTCTATTTGTACTATTCATATGTTTTCTCAGGTCATTCAACTGGTGGGGTTGCTTTTCTACTTGTTGTTATAATCCTTCTTTGTTAGGGACCTCTAAACCCATGTATTTTACTTAATTCATTAATTTGTATCTTTGTCCCTGCCTTTTGAAGCAAGTGAACAGTATAGGGAAGGGGAAGGCTTAGGTCCGGAGGCCCAAGACTCATATAAGTGGCCATCTTGAAACTACTGGTGTCTGTTGACTTCTTTGTTTTGAGGCAGTCTCACTCTGCATCCCAGGCTGGAGGACAGTGACGTAATCTCGGCAACCTCTGCCTCCTTGGTTCAAACGATTCTAATGCCTCATTCTCTCAAGTAGTTGGGATTATAGGAACGTGCCACCACACTTGGCTCATTTTTTCTATTTTTAGTAGAAACAGGGTTTTGCCATGTTGGCCAGGCTGGTCTCAAACTCCTGGCCTCAAGTGATCTGCCCCACTGGCCTCACAAAGTGTTGGGATTACAGGCGTGAGCCAAGACACCCAGCCTTCTGTTGATTTCTGATATACTAGTTGCCTATGCCTAGTGGAGATATGAATAATTCCTAAATTTAAAGGCCTATTAAATGTTGCTTTTAACAATTTTAAAAGGAACCTTTTTAAAAAATGCCTTCATGTAAGGTAAGGGGGACTGTTGTATCAAAACTGAAAGGTTACAATTTGTTAGGTTGAATTCTAGGGATGCCGTATCTGACGGTAGGTAATATCTACAATCTAAACAGTTTAGGACCTGTGATTTATGTTTTATGGAAAGTCCTTTTCTCTCTACCTTATTTCATTTAGCTTCTTTATCAATATTAATGTTTACATTTGAATACATGCCCAACAGTATGATTTCTATAAGCAGAAATTGTGTCGTGGCCTGCCTTTATGTAAATCAGTTCTGAGGTAATTTAATTGACTTCATATGACCCTTTCTTCTCCACAAAGTTCTCTTTCAGTTTTGTCCAAATCAATATAAAATTTATTTCATAAGACTTAGTCCTAGGAGCCAGGTTGAAATTTGTTCACTTTCAAGTTTGAAGGTACTAAGCTAAGATAAAGGTTTTCAAAAAGGATGTTTAACTCCACCAAAGCCTTATGAGGAATGAATGGGATAAAATTTAGAATGAATGGAAATCTCATCTATTTTCTGTTTTACATGTTTTTGCTCCTAGAAAGCTACCCTGGTTGACCATGGGATCCGGCGCCTTACTTTCCTGGTTGCACAAAAGGTATTGACATGTGAATTGTACCTCTTTAATATTTCTTATGCTGCTGCTGCAACTTAATAAAAAATGGGATTGCAATCTTATGCTTACTAGTAGAATTTATGCAGAGAAATAACCACTTTTCTATAAGTTTAATTTTTAAAAAACGTTAGTTTAACTCATCATCTTTTACTCAACTTGTTTTTGATTTTGTTACTGATTGCCAATTTCTGCTCTTTTCTTCCTCTCTGTCTTTTATTTGAAAGGATTTCAGAAAACAGGTCAACTATGAGGTGGATCGGAGATTTCATGTAAGTAAAATGAACAATAATGAAAGACTACTTACTGTTTTATTTGTTTGCCACTGATTATTTAAACAGAATATATGTTAGAAGGGCTGGACTGATATTTGGTCCCTCTTCTTTTATAAATTATTATAGTAAATATTCAGTTCTCTGTAATCCCAGCACTTTGGGAGGCTGAGGCAGGAAAGTTGCTTGAGCCCACAAGTTTGAGATGAGCCTGGGCAACATAATGAGACCCTGTCCTCTATTAATTAAAAAAAATTTTTTAAATTCTTATATCAAGTATTCCAGCTAAAGGTTTTTTCTTTTTTTTCTTAACCCTATAATGAATTCTCAATATATCTCTGAGAAATAGTTAAGAATGAACATAAGCATTTATCCAGACGAATAAGGTAGAAACAAGCTAACTAGTAATTTCTTCTATGCTCATAGTGAATCCATAATCAAGAACAGCCAGTTGCACTTTGTAGTCTTGGCTTCTTTATTGAGAATTCTCAATTCTAAAGAACAATGATTTATTATTTAAAATGCCTTGATAGAGCCAAGTTGCTATTTTTTGTCTTATGTTAATCCTAGGAACAGGAAATAAGTAAAAATTAAACACTCTGTTGCTTATTCTCCCATTTAACTGAATTAACTGTTAATATTTATGAGATTAAAATTTTTATCAAAAAGAGAATTAAGTTAATAGCCTGGCATCCGAACTGTGGTATACCCATATGATCATACCCAGTACAGTGACAGCAGTAAGGACAGAAATCCAGTTTGGAATCAACATGTCGTTTTCAAAATGACTGATTATCGTCAAAATATTTCATAAAAATTGATTCTAATGTAGCTAAGTCTTTTTTTTTTTTTTTTTGATAAGGTATCTTGCTCAGTTGCCCAGGCTGGAGTGCAGTGGTGCAGTCTCAGCTCACTGCAACCTCCACCTCCCGGGTTCAAGTGATTCTCCTACCTCAGCTTCCCAAGTAGCTGGGATTACAGGCATGTGCCACCACATCTGGCTAATTTTTGTATTTTTAGTAGAGACGGGGTTTCACCGTGTTAGCCTGGCTGGTCTTGAACTCCTGACCTCAGGTGATCTGCCTGCCTCGGCCTCCCAAAGTGCTGGGATTACAGGCGTGAGTCACTGTGCCCGGCCTGTTTGGTTTGGTTTTAGCAATTGAGATAATTTGGTTGTTAAACCCTGCTTATTTGTAACAATGAAGATGGCATTTGAGATTCTGGAAAGGACTTTGTAAACTCAAAGACCTATGTGTGATTGCTTTTATTACCTTTTTGTTTATTAGGTTTTTAGGAGCTGACGTTTTGTTTTCCTTCATACAGTTCACCTTATTGGTCTAGTCTATAGAGAAACAAGAAAGCTAAGATTTTCTGAAATGCTTTAGGAAATGTTGTGGACTACATGACTCCCCTGTGTTATTGATGTCAGGAAATCAAGCAGAGTGTAGCTATATATCAATCAATAACTTTCGATAGGAAACGGAGTCAGTGGAGAAGTATGAGGAGCTTAAAAAGAACCCTAGGGCTTTAGGAAGAAAAATCAGGAGCTTAGAGAATAAAATTGATACTTGGGGATAGAATATGAAAGCCCATGAATAAACACTGTAGCTAGTAGATGCTGATCAGAACTAAGGTAGACATGCCAGAGCCAGGCTCTGGATTTTAGAAAAGTATTGTGCTACGTTCTTAAATGTTACTGTGCTTTTTATCACAGACTTTAGAATAATAGCATTTTCTAGGGAATAACACTAAATTTATAAAATTGCTTTCCTTTTTGCTAATGGATTTGATAGAGTCTTCACATCTATAGCACACTAACTGGTTTCTATAATAAATACACTGATCAACTAAAACTGTCCACTAAAATTTTTAAAAAACCAAAGTGATTAGTTCTCACTGACATTTTCTCATATGTGTAACACACATAAAAAAAACTTATCTCTGAATCTATAGTGTATAGTTATAAATATGCCCTAATATTAAGAGTATATTTAACAGCTTTAAAACATATTTTTCTCTCTGCTGTCTTGATATTTCTGGATTTAGGTTTAATAGGGACATGTATAGGCAAAATCGGCTAGAAAATTAGGCCAGCAGGGGGTCTTCCCTGACAATCATTGTCTGATTCCTATTTATAGTGGCATCAAGTGGGAAATCAGTTAAATTATCAAGTGACTTGATTTGTCATGAGTGTAGGAAAAGCTGCTTTAGAGCAGAGAGAACATTAAGGTTTAATTGTGGACTAGATTTGCTCTGAAGAATTGAGTGGCAGAGGAGTTGGGGTGTTTTTATGTTCCTTTAAAAATGATAAATGATTTTGCAAGGGGCAAGGGCAGCTATTAAACTGAACTCCATCTAGAACCTTCTATACAATCCAGGATCTACACTAGCCAGGAAGCCTTGGCAGAAACTGTACAAATCTGGGGGTCACTGTCATAGTGCTGCTATGAGTTCTTTTGCTGATGGTAGCTTGACATTCATGAAGGATGCTTAGCCTCTGTCATGTCATCTGATTGTGCTTGCCCCATAGCTAGTGTACTGTGAAAAAGAGGAAGCTTTCTGGGAGTGTCAGAGATGAATCCCTTGATCTCTCTGGCTTCTTGGTAATCCACTGTGATGTATGCAGCCTCCCCTGTCCTATGCTGTGAAATCCCTATATTATTGAATGGAAGAGAGAATCTGCACTTGAGGGGCAAAAAGAGGAGGAAGGTTACCAAGTTTGATTCAAGCACATTGGTTAGTGGAATAAAGCAAGCTGTGCTGTTATATAGTTGTTGGTCTTTCAGATTGCCTCAGAACCAGAACAAGACAAATGAGGGCCAGAGTAGAGGTTCCTAGAGAGCTGTGTATATTGTTAGGTACTGATTCGGATGCCAGTGATTGCTATAAACATTTAAAATACTTCGTAGTTTAACTGCAGTTGTCCCAGATAGCTGCCCACAGGTATGTCTGTTGCTGCCCTAGTCTCTTGACCCTGCCTGGAGATTATTTCTGTGACAGCAGTCTTCACCAGTGTTAAGGAAGCTGGGAGTTGACTCTGTTTCCCTAACCATCTAATTAAATCAAGTGCCCATAATGGAACTTGAAGAACTGCCTAACATTGATATTTAAACAGAAACTTTGAGGAAAAACAAGTCTCTTTTTGTTAATATATTCTTCTTGTTAAGAAAAAAGAAAGTAGATCATGATGTTCATCTGAAAATAAAAAATAAAAGAAAAAAATGCACAAGATGTTAAAAAAAAAGAAAAAAGGAAAAAGATCAAAGCCTTGAATGCAAAAGAGGCTTCTTGAATTTCTGCAGCTATCTAAACTGCAGCTCCACAGTTTTCTGTTAGTTAAAACTTATGGACTCACTCTCTCTTAGTTTCACTCACATTTCAGGTCTGGAATTCCACAAGATTCAGCAGAAAGTGCTGTCTAATTGGGATATAATATTATGCCTTTTTTTTTTTTTTAAGCTTTCCATATATATATATATATATATTTTTTTTTTGGCAAAGTTTGGCTAAGGACATCGGAATACGAATTTTCAGGACTTCTTATCCCCATTAGGTCCTAAAACCATGATAAGATTCTAAATCAAACAGTTTTATATCTGTTAATAAAATGTTACCTTTTGTTCTTGTAAAATTTCATGAGATTTTAAAAAAAAGTCTACAAATCTCCTGAGAGAGTTGTTGTTTGATGACTGTTGTGGGATTCCCACTTTAAAATGAAATGTTTTGGATTATTTGGATCTTGAAGGAAGAGCTCACTGTCATGAGCAGTTATCATAATTAGTAGTTCTTTTTTTTTTTTTTTTAAGATAGTTCTGTTTGTTAGTGGACCAACTATTAGTTTTCAGAAGGGTTGGTTTGGGTTTTTGTTTTAATTACAGTCTATATAATTAGTTCTCAGCATGTTGAGGTAAAAGAGAATTGCACCAGCAAGCTCCCAATTTCTTCATCTCATTAGGTTTTTAACACGATTGTTAGTATCATAATCAGCTATGATGTTTTTTGTTGCAGGTTTTCACATTCTCTGATTTGCAGGGTGTCTTGATTGGCTAATTTGGGCAAATTATTTTGATTGTCTTGATGATGGTTGGCTGATTAGAACACAGCAGGGGCATAATTTCTTCCTGTGAAACGTTGCATTCTTTTGTTTTTTGGTACCAGAACACTAAGAGGGTTTTTCTTTGTATACATTCAATTATGATATTTGCCCATGACACTAGTAGAACGCTTGGAAAGCAAATATATTGATGATGGAATAAGCATGAATGCTTTCAGTGGAAAAACTGGCAGTATGAGGATGAGATAGGATAAAAGAATTTACTAAAACCGTAGGATCAGACTTTTAGATTTCTTCTTTTCTGTGTTTTCTGTGATTCTGTGGTTTTTGAGTGCCAAAAGAGGTTACTTTCTATAACAGTCTTCAGACTTCCAAGTCACTGAAGAATTGCTTGGTAGTCCCACTTTTCCATTGCATAGAGGTTCTTGCCATCTCTTGTTCTGAATGTTTAATACTTAAATTGAAGATTTTACCGGGGAGTTACAAATTTACTCAGAAGTTTTTTTTTTTAAAAAAAGGTTGTTTGGCCGGGCGCGGTGGCTCAAGCCTGTAATCCCAGCACTTTGGGAGGCCGAGACGGGCGGATCACGAGGTCAGGAGATCGAGACCATCCTGGCTAACACAGTGAAACCCCGTCTCTACTAAAAATGCAAAAACTTAGCCGGGCGAGGTGGCAGGCGCCTGTAGTCCCAGCTACTCGGGAGGCTGAGGCAGGAGAATGGCGTGAACCCGGGAGGCGGAGCTTGCAGTGAGCTGAGATCCGGCCACTGCACTCCAGCCTGGGTGACAGAGCGAGACTCTGTCTCAAAAAAAAAAAAAAGGTTGTTTATATGATCTCATGACACCTTTTCTTATCTAACCTTAATGAAAGTGGTTTTTCTAATTGGTAGTCATTGCCCACCTCTGCCAAGAATCAGTCAGTTTCTTCATTATTTGTATTAAAGGCATTTCCATTCAAACTGCTTTATATGCCTTTCAGTTACTACAAATTTTCTTAATTAGTTTAGTGGAAAAGAAAGCATTTTTTTATTACTGTTGTTTTGTTTTTGAAAGGAAATGGTTTTGATACTACAAATGTGCATAATTAAATAAGTGGCATCCTAAACAAACATTTTAATTAATTAGCTAATAACAGTTCAGGCGGAATAGAAAAGTATGTGCTTAAAATATCATATTATCAGTTTCCTTGACTTTTATTTCAGAGAGTTCCATGGAAAGATTTTGTCATTCTTCCTTTTTTGACATGTGTTACTTTTTAGGTAATACTCTGAAAGCTGTACCTCACTAGAATAAAACCAAAACTAGGTTATATAAAACCATGAGCATGATATTTACTGACACCTCAGCTGAATGCATCTTACTTAACCTTGAAGTCATCCCCATGTGCTTCACTCTCATGGCAGGGAGGAGGGGTCAGAGAATTATTTAGAACAAAACTTCATTAGGAGAAGTTTAGTCCTGTGTAAAATCCACTTTAAAAAGGCTTTTAAAAAGGGATTTCCCTGAGGTTGGTAAATGAGCTCCTAGGAACCTTTTAAATGCAGTCTTACAGTTAAAATACCAAGGAAAAGATAAAAAGATTTATTAGTTGTGCAAGCTTTAGTTAAGGTGAGAGTGAGGTATAACACGGAACGTATTCAAGAAATTTTCAGGAAATTCAAGAACCACAGGTTTATAGCATGAGTTTTGCTTTGTTTGCTTTGTCCTTTTTAAATTTAAAGTCTTAATTTCTGTTTTTTTGTCTCATCAAAGAGAAATCCTCTAAATTAGGGATTTAGATTATAATAAAAAGAGAAAGGTAATACTCTGCCCTTGAGAGGTGAGAGGGCATGGGCTCTGGCACTAGAGAGACCCAAGTTTATCTTCCAGCTCTGTGATTCTGAGCATATACTTGAGCCAAGGCTTCTGTAAAATGAGGGTCACAATATCTACCCGTAGAGGTTGTTGAGAGCATCAGATGGGAAAACACATGAGAATACCTGCCACCAGATTTTCAGTCCATGTTTCCTTCACAGTTCCTAAAGCTCATTGAGGATATGTAGGCAGCTAGTCCCAGTCTCTCTGCCTTGTACTGATAAGTGTTTGATTGTATTGCACTCATAATGAAGAAGATGCCTAATGAAACCTCCTATGGAGGCAAATAGTAATGACTTGATTTCAGCACTGCCAGTAGAGCTTCCCATCCGAGAAACAGGGGTATTTGGCGTTAGTAAGTTAAATTTCAGAAACTAATGAACTCTGCTAATTGAATTCATCTTTGTTAATTAATAAAGTTTTAGTAAATTGGTTTTTTTTTGTTTTTTTTGTTTTTTTTTTTTGTATAATGCCCTACAAAAAAGCAGGAAGACCTAATGATTACAAGTTCACTAGTTCTACCTCATTCTTTCCTATACATTTAGTGGTAGTGACCAAGGTAGTATCTTATATTTTTCTTCATCTTCAAATGTTATCATTTAAACCCTTGACATTATTGACTTAAGAAGGAATGTGAAAATCATGGACTGAGCACTCTATACTGTCTGACTAGTTTACATTTTAAGAGTTTCTTAAAGAGAAACTTGGGAAATCAGTCCAGTAACTCGGCATAAGGGTATATTGGTTTTATTTGCCGGGTTGTGCCAAGAGCAATACCCAGCAAAAAATTTTTTTTTCACTTGGGAGATTTAAAAAATATGTACATTTTTTTTCCCCCGGGAGAAGGTAGATACTAAAATTAGGTTTATAATGTGATTCTCAAATTTGGAAATGGGGTCAAAGTGATGGTTATGCAGCGGATCATTCATATTTCCTGGACTAAGCTTAGGTAAGAAGCATGTTTTCTAGAAGACTGTCTTCTAAATGCTTAACTGTTTCTATACTATATGTTTGTTTCCAAAGAGCCATGTCTATGAACTTCTGACACATTTTCCCTCTTCTTTAATACAGAGAGAATTCCCTAAATTTTTTACATTCCGAGCAAGGGATAAGGTAAGGATTGATTTCTTTCCTATTAAAAAAAAAAATTACTTTTTCTTAAAAGCCCAAGAGTGACTTATCTTTGCTATATGTTCTTCTTGCCATTCTTTTTTCTCTTATTGAACTTGTGCTTCCTGTTGCCTTACATGTGTCTTAGAACTAAAACCGATTCCTTTCTGAAAGAGTTTGGCTTAGGACACAACCAAATGTATTGAGCTACTCAATGAAGGTGATACCTTTCCAAATCATCCTTGTTCTGTAAAATAATCCTAATGATGTGATATTAAAGGACCATTCTTGTTATCTACAAATAGTTCACTGATACTCAACTCTAGTTTATGTGCATTTGTTTTTCAATTTTAAAATACAAAACTTCAGACCATGTTGCTTTCTTCCTGTTACCGGCTTATATTTTTGACTGTCTCTCTCCATTCGCTCAATTGACATGTATTCCAGAGAAATAATTTAGTTTCACTGAAACGTACAGTACATATGCAGTAAATACAGTAAAGTTATATACTAGTACAACTTTGAAAAAACATTTATAAGTAATTATATATCTATGGATACAGTGTTCCAAAGCCAAATATCTCTTTAATTAAAAAATTGTATGATGTTTGTTTGTTGAGTATTTATTATGTCATTTGTACTTATCATAAGTGAGAAAACTTTTAGATTAGTTGGGTAAGCACAAAATATTGGCATGTGAAGTAGATATTAATGTGAAGTAGTCTGTAATTAATATAAAAATTAATTATATAAAGACATTAAATGCTGCAGGAGTTCTAAGGAAACTGAGGTTTTTTGGTTAGTTTTTAATGCACATCATCACTACTTGTAAAAGCATGAATGATGAAAGTTTAGGAGTATCATCCTATAAAGTACGTATATAGTAGGTACTTTAGTGCCTAATCTTATGTAAGCTATAGCATTAGCCTTGAACATAGTTCATTTTTGTTGCTTATTAGCACATCATAGCTTATGTTTCTATTTTCAGGCATCTCTTTTACATTCACATTCATAGTATAGTGTTGTAACTGCCTCTTGTGAGCTGTTTTTTCTCTGATTCTTGTACTCAGTTTGAGGAGGATCGTATCTATCGTCATCTGGAGCCTGCTCTGGCTTTCCAGTTAGAGCTGAACCGGATGAGAAATTTTGACCTCACTGCCATTCCATGTGCTAATCACAAGATGCACCTGTATCTCGGGGCAGCCAAGGTGGAAGTGGGCACAGAAGTGACAGACTACAGGTTCTTTGTTCGTGCAATCATCAGGCATTCTGATCTGGTCACCAAGGTGGGTGCTGTACTTTAATGGGATGTCATCCCTGAGGGAAGGAACAGAGTAATATGTATGATTCAAAATCAAGTTTTATGCTTCTGCTGAGAGAGAGCATAAAAAAAAAATCAGGTTTTCATTTTTTGAGTCAAGGTTCTTGTTCTCTTTCAATGTTTACAAAAGTAAATATTTCATATAATAAAGGCTTTTTTTTGTACAAAGCAGAAAGTGCATCTGAAAAAAAATTAAAAATGAAGGCTCTTTTTCCACTTTAATTTGATTTTTCTTAGTAGCAGAAGCATAATAGCACTCAAGAAAAGAAAAAGCATACAAACAGAAAAATCACAGGAAGAATTGGGTGATGATAGAGCATAAGGAGATAAGTTAGGAAAGAGGCGATCCCATTGTACACCTGTCTAGAGGTATGGATAGTGTCTGCATATAGCAAGGCACTTCCTGATGTGTTCATTATTATTATATCCCAAAGCTGTACCCTTTCTTCAGCTTTTCCTTTCCAAATAGCTCTGTTTGGCATATGTGAAATATCATCCTATTGAACTTACAGCTATGGGGATGCCCAGCATTTCTACCTCTTAGAAGGAAATGATACACTAAGAGTAAGGAGAAAGGGCTGACATGGACTCTTTATCTGACCCTTGCCTGCCCCTTCTCCCTGTGGTTACTGGACTGACTCTAGGGAGAAAGATAGTGTCTTCACCAGATGCCTTATGATTCATGACATACTGCCACTTAAGTGATTATAATAGCCATTTCTTTATTGCCTCTTTTAAAATACACTAATGTTGATTATTTTCTTCCTGTGTAGGAAGCTTCTTTTGAATATCTGCAAAATGAAGGGGAGCGGCTACTCCTGGAAGCCATGGATGAGTTGGAAGTTGCTTTTAACAATACAAATGTCCGCACTGACTGTAACCACATCTTCCTCAACTTTGTGCCCACGGTTATCATGGACCCATCAAAGGTACATTTCTCCTTAGCTTCTCTCCCAGCACTAGCAAGCATAAGCACAGAAGTTCATTTATATTTATCTCACTTGGACTTGGAAACAGGTACTGTTGTTCAGGCTGTTGAGCCCTTAATCTGTAAAGTTTATAGAATGTTTATAAGATTGAGTTTCTGGGACAATGTCAAAAATTTGATATAGCCATTAAGAAAACAGTTCTCAATGCTGAAGGTGGTATGGTGTTAGCTTGCTGGTCACTTACAAGCAGTACAAAAACATGAAAACCTTTTCTTTTGTTGGTACCTGTTTTATGATATTTGCTATAATAGTGGTCCTGTTTTGTATTATTTCCTACTATTTCTCATCTGGAATTATTAATTTTACTGTTACTAAGCATTTTGGCTAAATTACTGCTTCTGTGCACTAAATATTAATTACCTGGTGGCCTTACTGAGATAATGTACCTTCTCAAAGTGTCTAACCTATCTCTCTCTAGTGTTTTTCCACAGGGAGAGAATTTGGCTGATAAGGAATTTCACATGTATTATGTATATTTTCTTCCCTGAGGGTCTATTCTAAAATGCATTGTATATAATTTAAGGAAGAAAAACAAGGTGATTTTGTACTTGACCTTTTATCCCCGGTGTAATAAAGACAAGCTGCTCTCTGTTTCTGCTCCCTCTGATGCTTTCTTTCTTTCTTTTTTTTTTTTTTTTTGAGACAGAGTCTTGCTCTGTCGCCCAGGCTGGAGCAGTGGTACCATCTCAGCTCGCTGCAGCCTCCACCTCCCAGGTTCAAGAGACTCTCATGCTTCAGCCTCCCCGAGTAGCAGGGACTACAGGCGTGTGCCACCATGCCCGGCTAATTTTTGTATTTTTAGTAGAAACGGGGTTTCACCATGTTAGTTAGGCTGGTCTCCAACTCCTGACCTCACGTGATCCGCCTGCCTCAGCCTCCCAAAGTGCTGGGATTACAGGCATGAGCTACCATGCCTGGCCCCTTCTAACTCTTTCTATCATGATACTGTGGAATTTGGATAGGAGAACCAGTATCTCCCTTTTTCAAGATCAACTGTAGGCATGAATTTTTGCTGCTGCTGCTGCTTTTTTTTTTTTTCCTTCTTTTTTTCTTATAGAGACAGGGTCTTGCTATGTTGCCCAGGCTAGTCTTGAACTCCTGGCCTCAAGTGATCCTCCTGCCTCAGACTCCCAAAGTGTTCGGATTACAGGCATAAGTCATCATGCCTGGTAGACTTTTGCTTCTTGAACTTAGTATCTGAGATCTGAGAAGTAGTTTTCTACCTTTTTTCCCTTCAAAATTCCAAGCTAATGATGGGTTGCTTTTGTCTGTAAGGAAAGCCAAGGACAGGGCTACTCTTTTGACTCAAATTGCATCATCTAGTTTAAGCAAAACTTCTCTTAAGCATTCTGGGACTAATAAGCTGGGAGACTTAAAACGTGGCATGGACACTGTACAGCTGTATTTTTTTAGATTTGGCTTACCTTTTTTTCTGAGTTTTTCAGATCAGCCTCAGCTTTCATTCTAACCACCCATATACACTCTGCTTTTCTAATGATAGATAGCTGCCAATTTTCTGTACATAAAGATTATTGGCTTTTGTTTCCTCAAGAAAAGAATGGATAAATTTCTCTTGGTTAGCAATTAAATGTGATAATAGAGAGGTTAACTCCCTGAAATTCATTCTAACTTAAAATTCTGTGGTGCAGAAACAAACTGCAAGGGTGGCACATACTACTAAAGAACCACAAGAGAAAGGGAATGTAAGATATTCTTAAGATTTTCTAAGAAGTTGAGGAAGCATTTTAGAAAGATCATTTAAGGAAACATTAATTTCAAATAACATGTTCTAGCTGCATTATGTTCTGTGCAGCCATGTTGGGGAAAAAAATGTTTTGCTTTAGTATGTAAATAACAAGAAATCATGTCTAAGGCCATTTAGTTAAAATAACTGTCCTACCTCTAAAAACTAAGAGCATTAAGCTGCCTTGGTATAAACTTAGGGAAACGTGGGAACATCTGCCCCATCTTCTTAAATCCTAGATGGACTTAGCAGTGGCCAAGCTTCAGAGCTCTGTTGAGAGAGAATGTTCTAGCACCACCTACAAATTGCCTTTCTTTAATTTGTGCAATTTGCCAAGAGACATATATTATAAAGTTTAATAAAATTGTATGGAAAAAAGCTCATGGTGGTAATTGCTATGTTGATTTAAAGTCCTGTAAGTGCAATGAAACATAGTTACCATGCATATAAATGCTACTTAATAGCTATTTAACTCGAGATTTTATTCTTATTTTGGGCTTCCTCTTAAATCCCGTGGCTTGTAATTTTAGATATTGCAGATCTTTGATATAGAATATGAATATAATTGGGAAAGGGTAAGGAGTTGCAGAGATTTGGGTGTTGTTATCCAGAGAAAACCACTCTAATGCCAGGCCAGCATGAAATTGTCCCTGACTTGTTCCAAGAAAGAATAGATTTGGGGAGAAACTGACCACTTTTTGTAAGGTGTGCATCTCCATAAACCAACCTCTTTTTTTTTCAGCCTTTCTATCTCAAATATGGGCAGACCTGAAACAGGTCTTAGTTACAAGATATTTAAGTTTTGTGCTTGGTAATGTGTCTGTGTCAGATTGAGGAATCTGTGCGGAGCATGGTAATGCGGTATGGAAGTCGCCTGTGGAAATTGCGCGTCCTCCAGGCAGAACTGAAAATCAACATTCGCCTGACGCCAACTGGAAAAGCAATTCCCATCCGCCTCTTCCTGACAAACGAGTCTGGCTATTACTTGGATATCAGCCTATACAAGGAAGTGACTGACTCCAGGACAGCACAGGTACAATACTCAAACAGGCTCCTCAGAGTTTTGATTTGGTCCTACAGATAAGATACTCGTCCTTGTTATAGAAGACCCAAACTCACAAATCCTATTGGTTCACCTGGCGGGGTTATCCCCAAGAGATTAAATGATTGTATGAATTTGAAAAACTTCATCTGCCTTTTAACATGTGCCTATGTTCTCTATCATGGCTGTTATAAAACCGTTAACCATTTGTCGTGTATTGGTGAGCACTAACAGATGCCAAGTGAACCTGACTCCAGAGGTTATTCTGCAGTTTAGGGCTCTTTTTTTAAGAGGACTCGTGGGTTATTTCAGCAATCTAATCTCTGGTCAGATGCATCCTTTCTGTTTTCACCATAATTAAACTACTCATTGGCAAGTGAGGAAAAGAGAATTGTTGGATTACGTTGCCAACTTCTATGTTAAAGAAGGAAAATTTCAACATAGTATAGTGGCGTGAGCCCTACCATCATCAGTGACTATCATATTTATCTATTGTGTTCTGTTTCTGTTTTTATCATATTTATTGTGTTATCTATTATGTTGTTTCCTTTCCTTCAAAGATTTCAGGGTGTCATATATTATACAAGAACAAAGTGGCAAATTTAAACCCGTTTTCAGGTAGGAAAGTTGAGGATGTAAAAATAGAAAGTGAGTCAGTACAATAATTCTGTGAAACAGACAATTCCCTTTTAATTTTTTTTACTATATCGGATTCTAAATATTTGGGCTCATTACTATGATACTGAAATTAGGTTGGTTCACCATTGTTCACATTTTTGAAGAGCTAGGATATTATTTTATGGCTTTGACCTGAATTCAAGAATTGCATTTCTTCTGATTAAAAGATGAACATGATCCAGTATACATAAACAAGAGTTTCAGTCTATTCCATGCTTTGGGTGCCAGGGAGAGATTATGTGTCTCTTGTTTTTATCTATATCCTTTTAAATCCAGGAATAGAGTCAGGAAAATATATTTTTCAATCTTTTGAAGGTGAATTTTTAAAAATCTCAGTTTGGACAGTTGTCAGAATGACCTTTCATTTTGTGCTTTGATTGCCAGTGAGGTGGCTAGAGAAATCTATCCTATGAGAAGTCAGCAGTTAAAAACACAGAGAAAGAGTGCGCAAGAGCATGAGTGGTGACCAAGAGAGAGTATTCAATATTTTTTGCTGTATTTGATGTTTTTTTAGTACAACTTTAAAGACATTTTCAGTCAAAGCTTTCGATGGGTAGGGATGTTTTTAATTAACTTCTGCAATAGCTTCAAGGCAGGTCTATTCTTGTGAAAAGTAAGATGGCCACTTGAGATTTTAATGTTTTTGATAAATATGTTTGTTCTTCATAACTACTTTTTTTTTTTTTTTCCTTTCCTTTATTAGGAAACTCTGAGATTTCCCTCATGCTAGCTAATGGTGACACAGGAACATGAAAGGCACAGATGCCTTCAATCGGGGTTTAGTATTACACATGGTACAAAATAAGCACACAATAAGCATCTGAAAGAATGAACAAACCACCTTCAGCCTGAAGGAGAACCCCTTTTACCTAGCATCCTGCATATTTTAAAAGCCCTGAAGGAAGCGGTCTACAGGCTCTTCACTTAAGAGAGTTCAGGAGCCACTGCCACATGGGAACTAACTTTTGAGCCTGTGGCTAGAGGTGGAAACTGACAAAAGGAGCAGCCTCCAACCCAGTTCTGGTGCTCCTAATGCCTACATGGTGCTTATTGTCAAACTGTTTTTCCCTTTCTTTAATGAATCATTGTATGAATTTAATACAGAACCATGTCTGTTATTCATTCATTTGTTTTTTAATTTAATATTGATTGACTACTTATAGTGTATGTCAGGCACTATGCATATAAAGACAAAAAGCAAACTGTACTCAAGAAATTTACATCACAATGGAAGAAGACAAATGATTTGTTTCTCTGTGGCAAATATGTGCTATTATAAATAAGTACACGGTTCTAAGGGAGCAGACTATGGGTCAGAAATCATTTTCTGAAATCTTTTTAATGGCTTCTGGTGAAAGTTGTGTGATATATAAAATGTGTACATATTTTCACGAACTTCTAAAACATATACTTTACCAGTTTTTAGTTACTGTGTTCATTATAGTAGAAAATGGAACTAACATAGATAGTTGAGTATTCAGGAACTCCTATTACATATCAGCCTCTTGCCCTAGCACATCGTTTATTCATCTGCCAGTAAGGAACAAGGTTGATTAGCTTGAGTTTTATTTTGTTTCATTTTCCTTGTACAGTCTTTGTGCTATAGGCTGTAATGAACACTGATGTCAGGCAGTCATAATGGGGAGAAGAGATTTGGGTAATCCATTGCATAAGTGAATTGATTTCCAATGTGCAGTGTAAGAGAAAAATAACATTTTAGGCTGGGTGCAGTGGCTCATGCCTGTAATCCCAGCACTTTGGGAGGCCGAGGCGCGTGGATCACCTGAGGTCAGGAGTTTTGAGACCAGCCTGACCAACAAGGTGAAAGCCCATCTCTACTAAAAATACAAAAATTAGCTGGGCATGGTGGCAGGGGCCTGTAGTCCCAGCTACTCAGGAGGCTTAGACAGGAGAATTGCTTGAACCCAGGGTTCGGAGGTTGTAGTGAGCCGAGATCATGCCACTGCACTCTAGCCTGGGCAATGCAGCAAGAATCCATCTCAAAAAAAAAAGGAAAAATAACATTTTAAAATCATCTTTGGGCTGGGCATAGTGGCTCATGCCTGTAATCCCAGCACTTTGGGAGTCCAAGGTGGAAGGATCACATGAGCCCAGGAATTCGACAGTAGCCAGCACAACAAGGCAAGACCCTGTCTCTACCAAAAAAAAAAAAATTAGCCAGGCATGGTGGCATGCACCTGTAGTACCAACTACTCAGTAGGCTGAGGCAGAAAGATCACTTGGGCCCAGGAGTTTGAGGCTGCAATGAGCTATGATCGTGACACCACACTCCAGCCTGGGCGAGAGAGTGAGACACTGCCTCTAAAAATAATAAATAACGCCTTTATTGAGGTGCAATTTACATATAAAGAAATGGACTCCTTTTGTGTGTGCAGTTCGATTCATTCTGTCAAATGTATACACCATGTAAGTACTATCACAGTCATGGTAGATAACATCTCAACACTGCAGAAAGTTCTCTTATTCCCCTTTGCAGTCAAAGGTAGAAGCACCAACCCTGGCCTTAGGCAGCAACCACTGATCTGCTTTCTGTCACTATAGATGAGTTTTGCCCGTCCTAGAATTTAAACAATGTGTACTAGTTTGTGTCTAGCTTATTTTACTCAGCGTAATATTTTTGAGGTTCAGCCATGTTACATAGATTATGCATATATGTTCCTTTTCATTTTTGAATAGTATTTCGTTTCATGGAATTTTTTTTTTTTTTTTTTTGAGACTCACTATCTTTTGAGTCTCACTATCTTGCCCAGGCTAGAGTGCAGTATTGTAATCATAGCTCACCACAGCCTCAACCTCCTGGGCTGAAGCAGTCCTTCCACCTCAGCCTTCCAGGTAACTGGGACTGAGGGTGTGTACCACCATGCCCAGCCAGTTTTTAAATTTTTTATACAGATAGGGTCCCACAATGTTGCCCAGGCTTGTCTCGAACTCCTGGGTTCATGGGATCCTCCCACCTTGGCCTCCCAAAGCGCTGGGATTACAGGTATGAGCTGCCATACCCAGCCCCATTTTATGGATTTATCGAAATTTTTACATTCATTTATCAAAATGTTTATATTCACAGATATGTTTTGGCAGGTAAGGTGGCTAACTGGGAGCTCTGACATGTTCCAAGGAAACAAGGCTTTCCAGAGTTTCCATCAGATATAGCTTTGACTAGCAAGGGGCAATATCCCCATAGGGCAGGCAATATCTTGACACCATTTTCATTTCTATTTCATTTGGGGATTGGTGACTGCCAACTCAGATATTAGATGGTTCTGTATGAATTAGTGGGAGGAATTATGAGAATAGAAGTCTCTATTGAGTAGGAGAGCATAAACTAAGACCACATGCCTGTGATGATAGTTTACAATGATTTGTGTGAGGAGTTACATGTATATTTCATAAGTCCATATTCAAATTATTGATACTAAAAAAGACTGACCGTGTGTGGTGGCTCACACCTGTAATCCCAGCAGCTGAGGTTGGGAGTTTGAGACCAGCCTGACCAATATGGAGAAACCCCATCTCTACTAAAAATACAAAATTAGCTGGGCATGGTGGTGCATGCCTGTAATCCCAGCTACTTGGGAGGCTGAGGTAGGAGAATCGCTTGAACCCAGGAGGCGGAGGTTGTGGTGAGCCGAGATCACACCATTGCACTCCAGCCTGGGCAACAAGAGCAAAACTCCGTCTCAAAAAAAACCATAAAAAAATAAAAAAGGACTGAAACTCTAATTCTCATTTTCTTTTCTTTTCTTTTCTTTTTTTTTTTTTTTTTTTTTTTTGAGATGGAGTCTTGCTCTGTCACCCAGGCTGGAGTGCAGTGGCATGATCACGATCTCAGCTCACTGCAACCTCCACCTCCCGGGTTCACACCATTCTCCTGCCTCAGCCTCCTGAGTAGCTGGGACTACAGGCGCCCGCCACCATGCCCGGCTAATTTTTTTTTTTATTATTTTTAGTAGAGACAGGGTTTCACTGTGTTAGCCAGGATGGTCTAGATCTCCTGACTTCGTGATCCACCTGCCTCGGCCTCCCAAAGTGCTGGGATTAAAGGCGTGAGCTACCACGCCCAGCCCTCTAGTTCTCATTTTCTTATTTTCCAAGATAACCTGTTGATGGACATTTGGGGTTTTATTTCCTAGTTTGAGCTATTAGTACTAATAAAGCTGCTGTGAGCATTCATTTACAAATATTTGTATAGATATATTTTTATTTCTCTTGGGTAAATACGTAAAAGTGTAATTGCTGGGACACAGTAAGTATATGCTTAACTTTATAAGAAATTGACAAACTGCCAAAATGTTTGTACCATTTAAATTTCTGCCAGCAATATACATATGTACCTAGATTGTTTTCTCCAGTCCCCTTCCTCAGTGCACGATTATGTTGCTTAACTATGACCAGTGTGTCTTCATCCCAAAACTTGGCCAAACTGAGCCTCAAACCCTATACCTACAGGTCTTGTCTCTCTTAACAGACAAGAAATGTAGTTCTAGGAAGCTGCTGCGTTTACCCCATTTTCTTAGTTTGATTCAGCTTACCTGCTGAGTACAGTTTTCTCATATTGTACCCTTGCCTTACTTAACACTTTGAATCTCTTAAAACATTATTGCTTTTACTCTGACATTCCTAAGACATTACTAATTCTGCTTCCACCAGGGTGACTTTTCCTATTGACCTTATGGAAGGGGACTGGGAGCTCCAGTCTCTGGGCCTTTAAAGCAGCCTGAGACATGTTTTCCTCATAATAGGACCTGATTGACAAATTAGCAGAGCACTCATTCCTCTGAGCTAAGGGGCTAAGGATTTACAGATGAACTGTACCCAGGATTTAGGAAAGTACTTAATTCTATTCCTGTGCATATATATCAGGTTCACAAATCTATTCATTAATGGTAGACTTGTGCTTATTTTGTAGGTCTGAATAGATATGTAGGTATACACATACCCTTACATCCCAATCTCCATTTGTATTCACTGCATTGGAAATTTATATTTTATGTATCCATGCATAAAGTGCCTAGTTTAGTGTTATACAACCTCTGGGCACTCAATAAATATTAATTGAATTGAAATAATGGCATCCCTTATAAATATTCATAAGCAAATAAAACTATCTTAATATATGGAGTATGAAGCACTCCTCTAGAAATATTTGAGTTAAAATGATTAAAAACCAGTGTAGTGATTTCATTATGTGACAATATAGGTATTGCAGGAGCTATTCACTAGTTGTAGACAGTATCTTGAGGAGAAGTAAATACGTATACATATGTATATGTTTTTTAATATACATAATTTAATATAGTTATTTTACTGTATGTAAAATATGAGGGTATGTCTCATGGGCTAACAAGAATTAACTATCTAGATGGATGGATGAAATCCACTTCTAGCAGAAATCTTTGAAGCCTTTGCATAGATAGTAATACTTATGAAGTACCATCTAATCAAGTGGACTAAAGGACTAAAGCAAAGATGATATAGTAGAGTCTTGATCTGGCCTTCTGCCATTGGGGAAAGAAGAGAATTTACTGCATAGCTGTTCTTCAACTTCAGTACTAGGGCTGCTCAGACTAGTTAGTTGATGTACTTCATTTCTGAGTATATGACATTCAACTCACTTTAGATGGCTAGCATGGTCAGTCTGTCTTTGAGATATGAAATGTGCACCATGCTTTCTTGTTTATTTCTTTTTTTTTTTTTTTTGGATATGGAGTCTTGCTCTGCTCTGTCACCCAGGCTGCAGTGCAGTGGCGTGATCTTGGCTCACTGCAAGCTCCGCCTCCCAGGTTCATGCCATTCTCCTGCCTCAGCCTCCCGAGTAGCTGGGACTACAGGCGCCCGCCACCTCGCCCGGCTAATTTTTTGTATTTTTAGTAGAGACGGGGTTTCACCATGTTAGCCAGATGGTCTCGATCTCCTGACCTCGTGATCTGCCCGCCTTGGCCTCCCAAAGTGCTGGGATTACTGGTGTGAGCCACCGCACCCGGCCTGCTTTGTTGTTTATTTCAACTAATCTAAAAGTGAGAGCAGTTATGGTGTATGGCTGGTTATATATATATATTTTTGGAGTTGGTTAATCTGTGGAGAGGTGAGACCACCAAGTACCCAATGTTAAGAGGTATAGCTCAGCTACTCAACATACCAAAAATGTTTTTGAATAGATAGCATTTGTGCAAAAAAGCCCCTCTAGGCAGTTCTCTGATTTTTTTTCTGTCTCTTAACTCCCCATGCCTTCTTTTTTTTTTTTTTTTTTTTCTTGCAGATCATGTTTCAGGCATATGGAGACAAACAGGGACCACTGCATGGAATGTTAATCAATACTCCTTATGTGACCAAAGACCTGCTGCAATCAAAGAGGTTCCAGGCACAATCCTTAGGGACAACATACATATATGATATCCCAGAGATGTTTCGGCAGGTAAGATGCCTAACCGGAGGGTCTGACATGTTCTAAGGGGCAGGGTTTCCCTGAATTTCCATCAGATGCAGTTTTGGCTAGAATGGGGCACTCCACAAAGGGCAAGAAATATCTTGACACTGTTTTCATTTCTGTTTCATTTGAGGGTTGGTGACTGCCAACTCAGATATTGGATGGTTATTTATGAATTAATGAGAGAAATGGTGAGAATAGAAGTCTCTATTGAGTAGGAGAGAGTAAACTAAGATTATTTGCCTGTGGTGATAGTTTACAGTGACTTGTGTGAAGAGTTATATGTGTATTTCCTAAGTCTATATTCAAATTATGGATATTAAAAAAGAGATCTGGTACTTTAGTTCTCATTTTCCAAGATAACCCTGGTTCCTAGTTGATAGCCTAGATTAATATGATGAGAATCAATATAGATAGCATAGACAAATGGATATAGAGTTCATGGTACACAGTTTAGAGTGTAAGTTTTTTGTGGGAGATTTATTATAGCTGAATAAAAACTAGCATGAGAAAATATAACATTATGAATCTCAACCTCTATATGAAAATAAATTCCTTCAGTCTGTATGGTGAATCATCTCTATGCCACACATTTTTCTTCTATCAATAGAAGGCAAGAAAAGTATATCACCAGTAGAAAATGCAGCCAATGAAGAATAAGGTATCAAAAGAATACTGAATTTGTCCTTTTTAAAAAAATCTATGAATATAGGATTTTTCCAAGTTCCCTAGTCAATACTACCAGTATTACCACATTTGAATTTTACTAGAGTATATATGTGGCCTTAGTAAACAGTCTATGTAGAATTTCTGTGTTATTCACAAATACAAGAGATTACCTCTATGCAACTATTTGTTTACAAGTTCTGTCTCCTGAAAGATACTTTCATTTGGTATTTCCCTTTTATAGCATTGCTAGCCTAAAAGCTGAGTGTTAATTCTGTTTCCCAATGCCAGTGCTATAAATATAATATAAATCACATTCTATATAAATATAATATAAATCACATTCTAAGTAATTCTTCCTATATAATAGGCATAAATACAGTGATTAGGACACATAGGTATATATGAGTCATTTGGGCTTCAAATGTTGCTTTGAGGCAAGCAAAGAAAGAGCTGAACTAGCTCCCACTTCACGAGGGATTTATTTATAGGAAGTTGGGAATGGAAATGATAATATTTTTTAAATGAATAGGTATGTCTGTTTTTTTCAAAATTGAGCAGAATTGATCTGCACATTTACAAATAATCACACACATCTAGTGAGCTAATTCCTGTGTATGGTCCTACAGCTATGAATAATATTAGAAAGAGGTTTCTTCCCTGGAATTTCTAGTAGAAACTTCATTCTGGCCTTCTTGGGTTTTCTTTTTATTAGCTGAGTGTCATGTCATTTTCCTGGATATTCCTTTGTTGTCAAGTTTCTTTTTTTTTTTTTTTTTTTGAGACGGAGTCTCGCTCTGTCGCCCAGGCTGGAGTGCAGTGGCCGGATCTCAGCTCACAGCAAGCTCCGCCTCCCGGGTTCACGCCATTCTCCCGCCTTAGCCTCCCGAGTAGCTGGGACTACAGGCGCCCGCCCCCTCGCCCGGCTAGTTTTTTGTATTTTTTAGTAGAGACGGGGTTTCACCATGTTAGCCAGGATGGTCTCGATCTCCTGACCTCGTGATCCACCCGTCTTAGCCTCCCAAAGTGCTGGGATTACAGGCTTTTTCTTTGGGATTTTCTTTTTCTTTGTTTTAAGGAGTTGATGCTACTTATTTAGTTTTCTAATGTTAGTATTCCTAGGATAGTGTTAGGTCTTTCCTGTTTGTTAATGCTCTGGTGCTGATTTGGAATCACTCAGTAGTTTGACTTTGTTGGAAAAGTGCCTGACTTTTGGCATGTAAAAAATAATTACAACTCTATTTTAACTGAGAATGGGAGCTGGGGAATTTAGTCTAATGTTTACACTCTGCGGAACACTTGGAAAAGAAAGCAAAACCAGATTGACTGAATCTTAATAATTATTTTTGTCTATATTGAAGTTATTGTCACTGATTAGTCAAACTTCTTTTCTCCACTAGTCCCTGATCAAACTCTGGGAGTCTATGTCCACTCAAGCATTTCTTCCATCTCCCCCTCTGCCTTCTGACATGCTGACTTACACCGAACTGGTATTGGATGATCAAGGTCAGCTGGTCCACATGAACAGGCTTCCAGGAGGAAATGAGGCAAGTAGTTGAAACCCCCCTTCCCTTTCTTATCTCTGTGCCCACTAGCACCAGCTTTCTGTGAGGTGTTCATTAAATAGCACTGCAGCATGGTAGTCTTGTTCGGAGAGTTATTAGAGAGAGCATTGACTGGGTATCAAGAAATTGTTAATTTTCTAGGTTTGATAATGGTATTATGATTTTGCTTTTTAAAATAGTATTGTTTTAACACAAAGAACTCAGTTTTAAAAAAATAAAAAGGAATATTGTTTTCTTTTAGAGATACAGACTGAAACATTTACAGATGCAATGATTTGCTTCTAAATAAAGAGGTGTGAGGGTGGGTGTGTAGATGAAACAGGGTTGGTCATGAGTTGATCATTGAAGCTAGGTGATAGGTACATGAAAATAGATTATTTTCCCTGTTTTTGTCTATGTCTGAAATTTGGGGATTTTCTTTTTTTCTTTTTTCTTTTATTGAGATGGTGTCTCACTCTGTCACACAGGCTGGAGTGCAGTGGCTCAATCTCAGTTCACTGCAGCCCTGACTTCCCTGGCTGAAGTGATCCTCTCACCTCAGCCTCCTGAGTAGCTGGTACTGCAGGTGTGCACCACTACACTTGGCTAATTTTTGTATTTTTTTCTAGAGATGGGGTTTCACCATGTTGGTCTCAAGCTCCTGAGCTCAAGCAATCTGCCTGCCTCAGCCACGCAAAGTGCTGGGATTATAGGTGTGCACCATTGTGCCCAGCCGGGATTTTCTATAATGAAAACATTTAAAGTATAGTTTTGCCTAATGTTTTTTCTTATTTGGATTCATATTAATAAATGCATTTTTCATTGTCTTTTCCATGCTCAATTCATTTGATCTGGTGCTGTTGTGAGCATGATAAATGTGTTCTTGAAAGGGCTTAATCAGAATTAGGGGTTCAAACATAAAAGAATGTAACAAAGAACCCATTTTTTTATAATTATCCCAAGAATGCATTTTCTAGCCTTGGTATCCTTTCTCTCAGAGTGACCCATGAATAGTGATAAAAAGGCATATTTTGCCCTATACTCTTGTCCATGCATTATCATTCTTTCTGATTTTAACTGTGCTCCTAATGTACAGTTATAACAATGACAATACCAGTAACAAACATAAAAAGAGAGATATTTTTATTTCAACCTTAAATAGAATCCCTAGATAGATTTCATTCCATTGAAGGAGTAATCTTTACCTATGTGTTCACCGTAAATAGGCTGGGTAGACCTTTGGAAATGATAAGCAGTTTGTTTCTATTTTATTCCATCTTTTTCAAAAAAATTTCACTATATATACAAGGTGTGTGGCTATTTCAGTAATATGCCAGTGGATGCCAATAGTAGATGATTTGGTATCAAGATGGATGCAAGCATTGGACCAGATGGAGAGTATCAGACTTGTAGGAGTCTCAACAAATAGCAAAGTCAAGAGGATTGTGGTGGGAGGATGCAAAACATTTTGACAAGCATAGATATATACTCATCAGCACACAAAGTTGAAACAGGTTTGTGCCACTGTATGTAGCATCTGCCTAGTGAGCCCCTCAGCAGCAAAGAAAAGCTTCATTGTGCTAGACTTAAATTCTGATTCATTGAACAGTGTAGTCTTCAGGAATGGAAGGTACCCTTGTGAACATGGGGCTGAGAATAAAATGGTTTTAACTAATGTAATTAAAACACAAAATGAGATTTTTGGCCACGTGAAAGCTAGCTGCAGTGCTGTGTGAAACCCCTTGCCATGATCTTTCTCTCCTGCTTTCTTTCTGCCCTCATTCTGTGTTTGAGCGAATGGAGACTCAGGGAATAGTGAAGTCCCAGAGGGACAGAGCTCTGTTCTTGCTGAAATTACAAGCACAGAGCTGCCTGGGCATGAACATGTAGTGTTTACTCTGCCAGTATGAATACAAATAGTCTTATTATACGGGCCTCTGTACCCAAAGACCACACACACACACACACACACACACACACACACACACACACGAATTTTTAAAAAATTAAAGGTTTTTTTTAACCCATTTAAGACCTAACAAACCTTAGTGGAAAAGATATGTCTTAAACAGTTGCCTAGGACTATAGCTATGAGTAGTAGTAGATCTAGTATAGGAGCCATATGTTTTCCTTTGTCCAGTGCTTTAATAGTTTTGAAACCAGAAAGTGAATAGTATTTGTTCAAAAGATTTTGAGTTTTTGTCAGTTCTCACTTTCTTCTTGGTCTACAGTTTTCCCTCCTTAGTTGCCTATTTTCTTTGTTCTATTTTTCTTTTCAAATGATTGACTAGGATTGAGGCTGAGTGTTAGCTTGCTGTTTCTGAGCCTTTGAGCTCGGGAGGAGTGAGACTGATGTTCTTTTGTGAGCAGTTAGTGACTAATGCCCAGGATGGCTGGTGAAGTCAGTCATTGGCCTTAGCTAGATTATAGGGCACTGCACAACAGGAATGAGGTTGGGGTATTAGTATCAAACTCTGCTACCAATAGCTTGAACATACAATGGAGCATGTCTACTGAGAGACTGACCCATCTAAGGATGGAGTTTCAGCAGTCAGAACTCTGAGGGACAGTTGTGCCTAAGAGATGACGAGGTGTCAGTAGGATATATTTCCTCATGCTGAGCCCAGTTTTATCAGGGCAAGTTGACTTTCAGCTATTGCGGTTTAATTTTCTTTGGCCAAAAAGCAAGTTTGTCATGAGTCTGGCACTCTACATATTACCCCAAGAATGATGTGAAGGGAATGAAAAGAGCTCATGCTGATGAGATTTGGAGCAAATCTGTCCTGTCCCAAAGAGAATGGGCATATGAACAGAGCCTTGAGAAATAGTTTTATTAAAAAAGAATAAAAAATTGAGCTGTTAATGTTCTGAGAGCCAAGGTTCAGTGTAAATGCATTGGTGCTATGTAGACATTAAATCATCATAATGTGGTGTTCTCCAAAAGTGACGGCTCTACCCGGTCATCATTGTGGGTGGTATTGCATTACCTTGAAGGATTGGAGTTTCTGGGTTTGAAAACTAGCACATGGATGTAAGGAGTAAGGGTAAAACGAGAGATTCCTTTAGAGTTTTCCCATGAATTGAAGTGCTTTTCTCCATGATCGAAGGCAGAAAACCTGCACTTATCAGACCATCGACTGTATGGGTGGCCAGTCTTTCTAATTTTTTTTCCAGGACAGTAAATAGGTAAAAAGGTGATGGGACCAGGACTTGGACTAATTCAGTTCCATTTAGTTTTAGGTAACTTCTTTGCCATTTGAGGAGGAATATTGGCTGTTTCAGTAGAGATGTGACCTGCATTTTGAACATTTATGCCTGTGTTTAGAGCAGGAGAAAGAGCTTTTCTGATGCAGTATTAGCTACTGTCTCTTTTCTATTTTCCTAGCTGTCCCTTCCCCATAAAGAAAGATGTAACTAAAGGAATACCACCTAATGCGTGATGAAAGGTATAGGAGAACACATTTTTCTCATTGTCATATTAGAATGGCATTACATTTAGTATGAATTTAAAGTAGAAATAAAAAAGATGTAGACTAAATCTGTGAACTGCGTTACTTGCAAATAGCTCCAAAGATGAGTTGTCCAAGATTTTTCTTAATAGTTTCAAGTGAAGATGAAAATTGAGGAAAATGTGATTGCGACATAGACTAAACTGATCTCATTTCTAGCTGCTGTGATGCTAGAAATGCCCATCACTGTATGTAAATACACAGCTACATGAATGTGTGCTGTTGAGCCTGGATACAGAAGAAATGCAGCCATCTAACAGTTCTACTTTACCACTTCTCAATTTTGGAGGAATTGTTTTCATTTTCCTGCCAGTTTACTAACCTGTTTTGATCCTTTGGTGGAAGCTATAATTGCAGGTGGGGACATTTTGAGTAACAGTTCGCAATCCAGTACAGCTGCTTTTCGCACTAAATCCTGTTATTAAAAAGCTCAGGCTAAGATCAAGCCAAGGGCTGTAACGGACTTGACAGAGAACAACTTAACTTTGCCTGGTAGGACAAAGACAATTCTAGCCTTCTTGAGACTATGCTTATGTTTATTCTGAAATAAGTTATTAGCATTCTTTTATTTTATTTCTTTTGATCAGCTCTGCAAACTAGACCAATAATCTCTAAATTGGGCAATGCCGAAATATCGGTTAGAGAGTCAACTACCATAATAACTTTAGTGCTAGTAGAAATTAGAACCCTGTTTTTCTTACCATATCAGAACATGGGCAGCTTTTTAACATCCTGTCTCATCATGCCTGTCATAATGAAAAACTGAGATGAGAAGACGATGTTGCAATGTTGTATTTGGAAGCAGTTATAATAAGTAGGTACAAGATGTATACCCAAAAAAGGGTTGGTATTCAGAGACTGGAATTCTTGGTATAAACGTTTTTCTAGGAGGAAAGTATATTGAAAATAGAATGCAACTGGGGCCGGGTGCGGTGGCTTACACCTGTAATCCCAGTACTTTGGGAGGCTAAGGCGGGCGGATCACGAGGTCAAGAAATCGAGACCATCCTGGCCCACGTGGTGAAACCCCGTCTCTGCTAAAAATACAAAAATTAACTGGGTGTGGTGATGCGCGCCTGTAGTCCCAGCTACTCCGCAGGCTGAGGCAGGAGAATCGCTTGAACCCGGGAGGGAGAGGTTGCAATGAGCCAAGATCGCGCCACTGCACTCCAGCCTGGTGACAGAGCAAGACTCCGTCTCAAAAAAAAAAGAAGGAAAAAAGAAAATTGAATGCAATTTGATGGTTACCTCTATACACACTATCACTCTTAAGAACTGTGGTAGCTCTAAGGCTTCAGTTTTCCAGATGGGCGCTAGGTGTCAGGGTTTTTCCTTCTCAGCAGCTTAGCATTCACATGAGCCTCTTGAATTGCCTCGTTTGTTGAGGCAGATTCACTGGTGTCCTTTTTTCAGTTGGTATAGTAGCCTTTATCTAGTGTTCCTACAATAAGCAATTGCAATTTTAACTCTTTGGTTGAAGATCCTTTGTACCTT